AATTCTTGAGGGCCTGCAACCATCGACCCCAGCTCTATGGTGAGATCCGAGTGCCTCTCAAACGACGTGCTCTCTCGCGTATTTTGTCTTCTTTGACCGCCCTGTCTCGCCATCGTACCACATCCGACCTTTGAAGGTTAAGGCCTTAATTTCAGCGTTCCCAAAGATTTCTCTTGCTTTCCTTTCCACTTTCAGGTCGTTCCGCAGCTAAGCTATCACTGCGAAGCGCTCTTAGCACCAGTTTAATTCTGGGGTTTGCCTTAATGCACACAGGAAATTTGATAGGTTTCTTGTAGATTCTACCGTTTTCTAGGATCCCTTGAAAAGTGTAGCTACGGCGAATTAAAAACTTACTCTGGTGAACATTGCGATTGGTTGCCCGACGAATCTTCTTCTGAAGTAGACCTTAGGTCCAATGCCATGTAAGTGTACTTGTCTCCACCAGTGTCTTATAGCCTAAGCAATAATACGATGAAGATGAGCGTACTGCTGAAATTTTGATCGAACTGTTCATCAAACCACATTTTTAATCCACTTACAATTTTGATCGCACGTCTACGGTATCTTGCTCGCCCTCGATAAAATTTAAAGATGTTCTCCTGTACTCCTGCTGGGAGCTGAGGCCACGGAGTTCTCACACACCTCTCCGCAGATTGCCTGGCGGAGGTTTCTAGTGCACAATCGTACCGCTAAAACCAAAGGTATCGCTTTCTTTTTATCTGTTATCTGGGTCAGGAATTTGTAATTTGAACATGTAAGCATACCATTCTCCTCATATTAGCTGCTTTTGGCAATCTTCTACCTCCTCGCGCTCTCACCCTTCCTCGAGCAAGTTGAGACCTGTGTAATCCTTTTGTGTGAACTCTTATGATATTTCAGTACATAGATAAATAATTGTTAACAAACCTGCGATAGTTATGTCCTACCAGTGCTCGTACTCTAACCCTGTCGGTCGTACCAGGATTTTCAGGACAGAGTTGATTGACCGCTAAAGTATTGCACAAAATTAAGATACGGTCTCTAGAAAAGGAATACATTCTCTCAAAAAAATGTGTGGTTTGATTATAGAGCATTTTTAGCACTCACATCACTCAAGAATAGTTGGCAGCCATCCAAGATTTCAAATGCTGAATGTTGGATGTTATTGCAGACACACTCCACGAGAAGTTTGGGTGGGTCTGCTTTGAAGGGCACAATAGAATTACCCGAACCTCGAAGATTTCCCGTTCTGTCGGCTTCAATATGCACGACATGGGCGCTGGGGCCTTCCTAAGACCGTACCCAGCGCCTACATTTTCCCTATTCTTCATGTGTCTGCGTGCTCTCATTTCGTGCGTGCTCCCGCGCCATCTCTCTTCGCTCGAAGTCAAAGTGTTTGTTTTCCTCCTCAGGTTAGTTCACCTCAGATTTGGACACCTCTGGTTTGCTCGTAACAAGCCCAAGCCTAGTGTATACTACCTCTAAGCTCAAGCATAAGTCAATGTGTAGCACAAGAATAAGCCTGCCTAACCACACGCTTCCGCGCAGCTCTGGTGACCTAACCTTGGAGGAGAAACGAACGTCTCCAAAGTCTCATCCATCTTATTTCATAAAGCGCTAACTTTGTGTGTCGGTTTATGTATGTGTGTCTGTATGTGTGTATGTATGTATGTGTGTCCGTCCGCAAAATGAAGTGAGTGAGAAGGAAGCTCATGGGATAAACAAACCGCTAACAGAATCGGGTAGCTCGCAGGACTTGAGCTATAAATGGTTTGCGATAGGGTAACTGTGATAACACCCCTACGGGGGAGGCGGTCATATGGCGCGATCCCATTGGCATTAGAGCGCATAGGCGCAATTGCCCAATCCTGCTGCGTCCGTAAACTCACTGAACTTCAGTAATTGATCGATCTGATAATTTGGGTCTCAAAAATCTCGCTGAGTCCCAAAGATCTAAAAAAGAGCGGATAGCTTCGCTGGCCTGATGCCAAGGCAAGAGGAACGGAACAGAATGTGTTGCGCGGACGAGTTGTCCGGCCACAGCAGGATGTGGTAATTACGGCCTGTGCGCTCCAATGCCAATGGGATCGCGCCATATGACGCACACCCCACCTACCGAGCACAATTCCGTTCATTCCACATGGTGCTGCAGTGGCAGCTGGAGAGGCAGTGGAGGGAGGAAGGAGGAGAGGAGGAAAATCTACCGTCACGACTTGTTATGGCGATTCCCTCTACTATGCGAACTCTCTTTGCTGCATGCGCGTCACCTCCAAGTGGGAATGAACCACAGCGGAAGACGTAAAGTTTACGCAGGAAAGGAAGGTCCTGGCGGTTGAGGGGGGGACCAGTCTGGTGGCTCATACAGCAGGAACAGGAAAGATTAAGTTAACCTTAGCGTTTTGGGCAGAACCTTTTCCTTTTTTCTCACTACTGGTCGCTCCGCACTCCTGCTTCACCTTTGGTGTGCAAGAATCATTAATTTTATGCTGGGCCGTGCCTCTAATCATACATCAGTATCTTGCATTCTTTTGTGAGATTCAGCAGAATTTTGAAGGGTAACGTCGCGGAAACAAACCGGCGTTCGGATGAGCATTAGTTGTTGTTGTCACCATAGTTGTCGTAGTAGTGGTAGTAGAAGTAGTAGTGCTAGTTGTGGATGACGACGTTGTGCTCGCTACTGTTGTATTAGTGGTGTTTTGTTGAGCTGACACCATAGCCAACACCTTCAAAAGTGTAAATCAGTTGACTGAATAAAGGCATAGTTAGCGAACTCACCGCCATGAGCAGAGCTCGTAAAGCGCATGTGAAGCGCATCTTCGAAAATGTGATGATTGCGTCAGAAAGCCCCCGTATTTCAATGCTACGGGAGGAAGATCCACGAACAAAAGAACTTCCATCAATATAGAAAAGTTTATGAAGTTTTTCCACATAAAAAATTGTTTGTCATGTACGAGCCGCATGTTGTCGTATTACGAGTTCTATACGATTTTGGTGTTTGAATTTTGGCGAATTTTCAATAGATACATACTACTAAGATAATCTGTTTTCTATTGGTCACTCAGACATCTCAGACAAGATGCATTTCATAAAGAAACCTAGGCAAGTTCAGCTGTACAGAAGGAACAGAGGCAGGAACGTTTGAGCTTTTTGGTGCGGAAATGTTTATTCACAAGTGAATATCTGATAAGTCCCATCGATCTTTATACGAACGAAAAGACTCATTTTCTACAAATATCTCGATAAATTTAAAATGGCCGCCCATCGCAAGATACGGAGTATCCGCTAGGTTTAAGTTCAGGAGGGCAATCGCTTTCCGGTAACATGACACCACTCACCCTCTCTGAACGTCTCCTTTCCACGCGTCCCACGAACAAGGGAGGTCTTTCAGGACATGGAGCGCTTTTTCGAAATGGTTTTCTTGCATACTGTAGAGGGCTCATGCGAGGAAACAGAGCCATGATCCATTTTCCTGAACGCCCCCTAGGAACGTCAAAGCAGTGGTGAAGAAATGGTCCAGAGTTCGATCCCCAGGTGATGTACTATTTTGCAGTTTACGGGTGCCTCCAATTGCCGCGCAAAACACGATCCAGTGCATCTATTCCTCGACAATGCGCTCGCTAATTTGGCGGCAATTGAAGCGTCCAAATATAAATGCAAAGCAAAAATTAGTCGTCACTGGGGCCGAACTCTGGACATCTGTTCATCCACTGCTGTTGACGTCCTAGGCGTCAGCGAGAATGGATTCAATACTTTGTGTTCCCTCGCACACAACCTCTAACAGATGCAGAAAATCATTTTCGAAAAATCGCTTCCATACTCCTGAAAGACCTCCCTTTGTTAGACGCGTAGAAAGAGACTTCACGTGCATAGAGTGTTTTCATCATGTTCACCCGGCAGCAATTCGTGTGATCCACATGCACCTGGTCAACTACATTGGTGATCCTGTATCAGTACTGAACTAACGACTGACGTACTAAAAGTGTGGAGGCGTTGTTCGATGACATTGGTCCATTCTTCTCGGAGGCTGGTGTTCCAAAAACTGGAAAGGGAGAGGACACCAGTGCAATAGTTCGAAAATTTTTCGATTTTGGAACGCAAGAAGTCTTCTCAAGGTTGGAAGAGCCTTGAGTTTTCTTGTTTCTTTGTGTACAATGCTATCTGTCTTTTGTGTCGAGGAGACAGCTGATTATTTGGAGTGAAGAATTCCCCGTACGGGGAAAATATGCATTTCTCGCGGAATTTTTTCGTAAACTCTCGCCGTGATGGTGCTCCTCCCTCTTCTTTTGGATTATAAAACCTTTTTCCACTGTTTTGTCTTGACGCACACTCCTGATTTCGAATTACCCAACATCAAACATTAGCTAGGGACAACTAGCCCTTGAAATTCCAAATTATCTTTTCTCTTTTGAGATGGCCTTGAAAACCATCCAGTTCCCTGGCCGTTTCTGCCAACAGTGACACTGCACCCTGGCTGACATCAGGGTAATACTCTTTTTGTGGATTTGAAATAGGCATAATCGTACTCATAATGTCTATGGCGATATGAACAACTGTCCAGCGGGGTCAACGCCCTCACTTGTCTTAACGAAATAGGCAACGGGGGGGGGGGTCGTACTCAGTTGAGCTTGGAGGGGTCGTACTCTCTCGGTGGCCGACAGTGGGATTCTTGGTAATATCGGATAATAGCCAGCACGTTACGTTTTCGTAAGATGACTGATACTAGAGCATCTATAAACCACGCTTCCCTCTAAATGAGCTTTCAAATGAATCAGCGAATTAGAAGGGCGCCCGAGGCGTGGCGCGCACCAAGGCAAGGGATGTAGTGCAAGCGCATGCTCGGAGCTTTCTAGCACATCCTAAATTAAACATACAATTGGTCTTCCAAGAAGTTACGGGCAGTGAAACCTAAGAAAACTCGCGTTTTCGAGAAAATGGCTTGAAGAATACCCCACAAAATCTAACAACGGGAGGGGACTATTTTTTGATCTCGACTATTTTCAGGACACCCATCTTGTGCTCGCTAAGGATCCTGTATATTTGTCATACCCGTGTTCAGCTTCCCAAATGAATGACTTTGAACAGAAGTTATGATCGTTTGAAAGGTCAAAAAGTCGCTTTGCACAGAAAAAAGTAACAACGTACTAAATTTTTATTAAATTAACTTTCGAAGAATTTTTACCCATGGTTGGAGAGAGAATAATTTGAATTTTCCAAATCAAATCACTTCGGCGCAGAAGCTCGAATATGAAGGAAGTTATAGCCTTAGAAAGAGGGGTGTAAAAATTGTGTTGCAATTGAAGAACGTGAAGGATTTCAGTATTTCAATTGGAGCGATAATTTTTTCTGACTTCTCATAAGTTTTTATCAGGTAATATTGTCAATATTCCGGTCACTGGTTCAGTTTATTTCATCTCCTAGTTTGGTAACCCTTTGGAGTACACGGATATCTTTGAATGCATCTCATTTTTTCGTGTTTGGAAGCAGCGATGAATATCTGTCGTGGATTTTGCTAAGTTTCATCTTTGATGACTTACGTAGAAATAAATATTGATGGTAAACACTGTCTCTACACAAGTGTCACATACAAGGGGGTCGTATCAAATCACCCATGAAGGGGGAGGGTCAAACAATTCCAGAGGTTCCGAAGAGTAACAACAATAGAGTTGACCCTGCCATCGAGCCAGTCATAGGAATAGGAATGGCTTTCTCAGATTGCCAGGTTAATCATCAAGTTCTGAGATAGTTCATCGTACTCATTAGACTAAATTACTTCATTTTTCTTCTGCTATTGATTGGATGGTCGTATAGCAGGTTTTTCAGATGCTAGCTGTACGTTTTAGATACATATGTTACATCATAATAACAATTCAATAACAGGAACGTAATAACTGGGGAAAAATTGTTGGCACTGCGTGGAGCTACGAATGTTGTTTAAAAAAACTCAAATATTAGTTTTTCCATTCAGTGTTACGCCACAGAAACGAACAATAGTGAAGGTTTGTACAGATTTCCCAGACAGATGAAACTAATGACGTTAGTACAAAACTACGACACTTGTAAAACAAATTATGCTGTCTAAAATATTAGGTACTGTTGTTTGTGAGAATAAAGATGCCCTGATTGATCCATCCGAGGCCACCACTGTGGTTCCCAAACGTCAAGCCTTACAAGCGATGCACCTGTTTTGGGGTTCATTAATTCCGACGATCCGGCCGATGCAGCTCAGCTCTTCACACTGAGCTCGAGTTTGTGCCGGTTTTCAAATTAATCAGCTCAGCAGAGCTGATAGGCTTGGATAAGAAAGTGGTTCGATACGGGATAATGACTAATGACTATTGACTTGTCCGCGTACCTAATATGGCCGTCTATACTGCGCCAACTCCACCTCATACAGGCGACTAAAATAGTTGCATTATTTAAGATACTTAGAAGGACTGTTGTTTATCGAACCCTGCTCACATAACCCTTGCTTCATGCTGTGAAGAAACGGGACATTGTGGTAAGAGAGTAGACGCAATTGAGGCGCCTAACACTCGGTGCTGTCTTCCACTCCTGACGAAAGAGCCCTAATACCTCAAGGCCTAGTGAATTTGAAGGCAAGAGGGCGGTAACTCGGCCCTTTCTCAATATAACAGTAGAGCTGCTAAGAGGTGCAATAATGAAGAAAAACAGAGGGAAACGGCTCGAAACACGCCGAAATGACCCCTGTTTTCCCCGCTGATTGCCTTATGGATGTCATCCATGCCGACGGATGAAGCCCAATTCCATGAGCCGATTCAAGCCTTACGCGAATCCGCGCGAATTCGCTAGCGTCTGTCGGTCGCTGCCGCACGATACATGAATCACTCATACTGGCTGTACCGCAGCGCCGACCGGGACGGCTAAGCGAATCCGCGCGAATCGGCAGTCTGCACATTGCCAGAGTGAGACAGCGAAGACGCCGCAGAACGTTGGCAGTTGTCATTGATTATATCGGTAAAGAGCACCGTCGTACTGTGGCTATTAATGCCTGCTATGCTCCCCGACTTCCAACGCGGCCACTCTTCGCCTCTTTTGCGGTGACAGTCCGCTTCTATAGGTACATTTGCCCTCCCGTCCCTGAATAGCACGCCAGATCAATGGACGGCCGATAATGAAAATACTGATGCTGAAACTTGACGAAAAATGAAGAAAGATTTCCAGTATTCCTCTGTCTTTTTCTACTGACCCGAACCACGATCGACGAAGCCAGAGTACGAGTTTTGCTTTGCTCACACCAGCCCCGTCGCGTATTCGAATTACAGCTACGAATTCGGCGAGCGTCATGTATCTCCACGGTTACCAAATAGTGGTAATCGTCAAAAGTCAGCTTACCAACAAAACACCTTCACACTCTCCTCATCGCCGCTTTCGCGAGGTCAGTTTTGCTTCAGCATATTACTTCTCATTTGTTCTCTGACTAGGGCTCACGAACATCTTGTCATTCCCATAGGTACCCACAGTAATGAACCATCTTGGGTTGTTGTCTTGAATACAATCTTTCCGTATCATCTCTTTTTTCATGATTAGGCCTCGACGAATGGTTGAAAAAGATCGCTGTGGTGCTTGCATTGACACGGCAGTGGCGAAAAAGCAGAAGAAATTTCGTTCAGAAAACGCTAAAAATCCCCGCGGAAAAAATCCCCTTTTTTGGTCCATTGTCATTTTCACGTCATTAACGGTATTTAACAACTTA